GGAGGCTCAAAGGAGGTGTTCTGGGAGGAGGTTGGGGCAGGTTTGGGGAGATGGGACATTCCTTGTGGGGCAGGGAGATTTTAATATCATAAGATTCCTAGAGGAAAAGGTACAGTGTAGGGTGATATCTAGGGCCATAAGAGTTTGTGGAGTTTATTGATAACCGTTATCTTATTGATTTACCTTTAACATGAGCCTATTTCACATCATCTTGAGGACACTTCCAAATCAAAAATGTCAGATTCTTTATGCTTACTTCTTGGAGTTGGCACCTGGTGCTTGCAAGTCCCTTTATCAAGATTGGTCTCAAACCATTCACCTATCCAATGCCCATTTTATTGGATTGTTAGTAGAGGAAGAAGGTCGAGATCTCCGTTCAGATATGAGAATGTGGTTGAAAGCGACAAATTTTGGGGAGAAGGTGAATGGGTGCTGGAGCAGCTACGTTGTGGAGGGGAGACCTTATCGGCTTGCTATAAAGATGAAGATGCTTAAAATAGATTTAAGGGTGTGGAACAAAGAAGTATTTGGGAGGTCTCCCCTCATGTGGTTTTTTGAAGCTCCTATCAGTGTTACACGAAAATTGGAAAGGCTCCAGTGGAACTTCCTTTGGGATTTAGTGGAAGGGGCAAAGAAGTATCATTTGGTTCGATGTGAGACCGTGACGACTCCTAAATGTTGTGGGGTTGGGGATGGGGGTGGGAGTTAAAGAGTTGATGGTCTTTAACAAAGCTTTGTTCGGGACATGGTTGTGGAGATTCAGGGTGGAGCTCAATCCTTATGAAGAAGGGTGATAGTTGATAAGTATGGGGTAATGAAAGGGGGTCGGAAAACTAATGTTACCACTTTGGCGTTTGGTTGTGAACTTTGGAGGAGCATCATGAATGGAAGAGCAGATTCCTATGATAATCTCTTATAGGGTAGTAGGGAAGGGAGTAGAATTAGTTTTTGGGAAAACGAATGGAATGGAGACATGTTGCTAAAAGATGAGTTTCTGAGTATTTATAGGGTGTCGTGTCAAAGGGAGGCAGTAGTCCAGCACATGAGGGGGACTCAAGGGGAAGAAATGTTTTGGGATTTGAGGCTTAGGAAGGATTTTCAAGATTTTGGAAATGGATGAGTTTCAAAGGTTACTAGCTCTGCTCCATCTTCATTGTGCGCAGGTGAGCAGATCCGATAGACTGAGATGGAAGTTGGGGAACAATTGCGTATGTTTAGTCAAGTCTTTTTTTATGAGAAGGTTTTTGCAAGGGAGTAGGAGGTGTTGCCTATAAAGTCGGTTTTGATTCCTAAGGTTTCGAGGAAAGTGTAGTTTTTCACATGGTTAGCTGCTGCTAGAAGGGTGATCTTGACGGCGGAAAACTTTAGAAAAAGAAAGGTTGTGTATCAACTGGTGTTATTTATGCAAGGACGTTGAGGATGTAAATCATCTTCTACTACATTGTAGTTTGGCTACACAACTGTGGTGGGATATGTTCTGCTGGTTTGATATGTCCTGAATGATGCCCAGATCTGTAAAGGAACTTTTGTTTTGCTGCAAAGCTATAAGAAACGGGAGGAAGTGCACGGCATGGAGTGTGGTTCCTCTGGCTTTGATGTGGATTGTTTGGAGAGAGAGAGAGAGAGAACTAGGGAGGGCCTTTGAAGGAGTAGAAACCGTTCCCTTATTTATTTTTGGTGCACCCATGTAGAGAACCATGCCGTTTTGTAGGTTCTTTACGTTTTGGTATACTTCTTGTATTCAGCCAATTTTGGCATGTTGATTAATATAGTTTGCTGACTTGATAAAAATAAACACTCTAGGAAAAGGATAGAGGGTGGTGCTAGGACAAAATTTCATCTTGCTCATTATCAAGTTAAGCAAATAAGGTCTATCATCGTATGCACAACCTTTTAATCTCAGGAGCTTTATCCTCATCATAATATTGAATCAGAAGTTTTAGCTTTATTTGTGGAGGGTGTTTGAAACGAAAGAGACATACCTCTTATCCATATGATATCACATCTCTGCTTGGAGCCCATCATATTCTGCTCTTGATTTGTCTATCAACTGGCAGAGATTTATCATCCAGACACTAAAAGGATTTAGTTGGAGAAGCCACCAACCTTCAAGTGCTAATATTTTTTTTTTTTAGTTTAAATAAAACAGAATATCAAGTGCTAATATAGAAGTTGTAAATACCCATAAATTTTTTATCAGCAGGATAATTTCCTGAATTTGGCAGTTCAGCCACTTGCAACACTAATTTGTTTGCTTGCTATCAAAAAAGAAAAAAAGAAGTAATTGGCCATCATTAAAGGGCCCTTTGAATATATCTGAATAAAGCTTGTCTCTAGTGGTTCACCCATTTAATGTAATGAAGTAACATTTAGAAGAATTCAAGAAACACTTTTGCTCGAGTCTTTTACTTGAATTGGAGAATTCATGTTTATTCTTGCCTGCTAATATTAGTTGTTCAGAAAATATTACTCTCTCTATCCCAATTTATACGACACACTTTCCGTTTCAATCAATCTAAAAAAGAATGACATATTTCTTATTTCATAAATATTTAATGACACTATCGACATTTTACCCATGTTGGGTCCACTTATTTGGCAAAAAATCCACAAAAGTGTACTTTTCTATTTAAAAATTCATTTATTTGAAGGGTAATTTTGGAATATTGCAAAGTCTTCCCATATTTCTTGAACTCTATGTCCAGTCAAATTACATCACATAAATTGGGAAGGAGGGAGTATGATTTCTTTAGAGGAAGTATCATAGAATACAGTACTTATTCATAGGTCTGCTACTTTCTTCCTTTTTTTTGATTAATAACAACATAGGAATTTTTGCTTAGTAAACTCAACTTCTACACTGTTGACTTTTTCTTTGTGCTATTTATGGTAAACTCAACATTCATGCTGTGAATATTTTTCTTGTGTTTTTGATGATACAGATGAGCAAAATGCTTAAGCCTGACAGGTGGCAGACAATCTTTGAAAAGGATGGGAAGGTACATGGTTTTAGGAAAGTGCTGAAATTGATCATATTAGGGGTAAGGCTTCTATTGTTTTAAGTTACTATTTTTGTTAAAGCCCTTTGTGCTTAATTTTGCTTGTGGGAGAGGTGGATCAGTCGAGGCTCTTGTATTGGGAATATATAACACCATTATCCAAAAAGAGAAGACAACGAAGACAAATAGAGAGAGAGTGAAAGACAAATGCAATCGAGAAAAAGAGGTTTAGACCGAAAGAAATAGCTAGAATAGAGAGAGATTTTAATATCAAATCAATTCAGTTAAGTCTCATAATTATTGGAGAAGAAGAACTATATACCAAGTTTAATCCCACAAGGTAGTGTGTAAGGCTACCTACCTAGGAAGGTAGAGAGACTGTTTCCAATACTCTCGGCTCAAGGAAAAACATTTCAAAAAAAGAAAATAACGGGAGTGAAGAAACCATGGTAAAGTACTAAAGAAACCATGACTAAATATTCTTAAAAGTAAGAATAACTACAACAAAAATAAGACAATAATAGGGGTGCAAAAAAACAATAAATAGTAACAATAAGCGAATAACAAGAAACTACAATAATACTACGAGATAAGTGTTAAAAAAACATCTAAATTATCTCATTTTATTGAGTTTCATACCTAAACTATTGAGAGGGTGAGTTTCATACCTAAACTATTGAGAGGGTGAGTTTCATACCTAAACTATTGAGAGGGTGAGTTTCATACCTAAACTATTGAGAGGGTGAGTTTCATACCTAAACTATTGAGAGGGTGAGTTTCATACCTAAACTATTGAGAGGGTGAGTTTCATACCTAAACTATTGAGAGGGTGAGTTTCATACCTAAACTATTGAGAGGGTGAGTTTCATACCTAAACTATTGAGAGGGTGAGTTTCATACCTAAACTATTGAGAGGGTGAGTTTCATACCTAAACTATTGAGAGGGTGAGTTTCATACCTAAACTATTGAGAGGGTGAGTTTCATACCTAAACTATTGAGAGGGTGAGTTTCATACCTAAACTATTGAGAGGGTGAGTTTCATACCTAAACTATTGAGAGGGTGAGTTTCATACCTAAACTATTGAGAGGGTGAGTTTCATACCTAAACTATTGAGAGGGTGAGTTTCATACCTAAACTATTGAGAGGGTGAGTTTCATACCTAAACTATTGAGAGGGTGAGTTTCATACCTAAACTATTGAGAGGGTGAGTTTCATACCTAAACTATAAGTTGGAGAAACACACCTCTCTTGATGGTGTGGTAATACACTCTCTTTTATTTTAAAATAATTGACACATTGACACTTCACATGGACAAATTATTCCATTTTGAAAAAAATTAGATAAATTATTAGTATTAGTTAAAAATTAAAGATTAAAGTACTTTAATCTAAAAAAAAGCAAATTAATATATTTTTTAAGAATTTTTTTTTCTTTTTTATTTTCCTCATTTTGTTTTAGATATATACCATATGTTTTAAGGAAAAATATTTTCTATTTGCCGTAAGATTTTTCTAAAAATAAAATTTTCATTTTTGTTATATTCAATATGCAAGTAAAAAAAATACTTTCCTAAAAACATATGTATATATCTAACACAAAACGAGAAAAATGTAAAAATAAAATAAAATTGAGAGCAAAGGGGTAAATGAGGTGGGGTAGAATTTTTTTTTTTCTTAAAGATATTTGGAAAGGAGTGGGTTGTTTGGGGGGGGGGGGATACGGGGTGGAGTGGGGTAAGAAATATTTTAAATTTTATGGTTTTTTGAAAAATAATTTCTTTTTTTGGAGATAGTGATATTTTTATTTTTAACTTCTAACTAATACTAATAGTTTATTTAATTTTTGTCAAGCTGGAATGTTTTGTCCATGTGGAATGCCAAGTGATAAGGTTTTTTTTGAATAAAAGAGATTACACACACCAAGGAGATGTGTTTCTCAAACTAATGGGTGATAGTTTATATGTGAAACTCACACCTCCAATAGTTTAGGTATGAAACTAAATAAATGGGATAGTTTAGATGTGTTTTTGACACTTCACTCATAATACTACAACTAATAATATGAAAGGATAAGCTAAATAATACTCAATTAACTACCTACTTACCTTCTACCGTGTCTTCCATAACATTTTATCCTTTTATCTAAGGTCATGTCCTTGGTAAGTTGCCACTGAACTATGTCTTGACTCTTGTCTAATCATTTCTCCCCGAAACTTCTTCGGCCTACCTATACCTCTCATGAACCATCAATAGCCAATCTCTCACACCTCCGCATTGGGGCATCCGTGCATCTTCTCTTCACATGTTCGATCTATCTTAGTCACACTTCTCGCATCTTGTCTACTATCGAGGACACTCCCACCTTGTCTCAGGTATCATCATTTATAATCTTATCTCTTCTAGTATTGCCAAACATCAACTCAACATCTTCATTTTTGCAACTTTCATCTTCTAAATATGAGAGTTCTTAACTAACGAGTACTCCGCTCCATGTAACAAAATCGATTTGTAAAATTTGTCTTTAAATTTTGGTGGTACCTTCTTAACAAACTGGGCTCCGGATAAGAACTTTCATTTCATTGACTCTGCACCAATATGATAAGTGATTTTCTCGTCAATCTCTACATTTCCTTGGATAATATTCCCAAGACACTTGAAACTTTCTTTCTTTTGGATGACTTGGGTATCAAGCCTCACTTTGACCTCATGTGTTTGTTACTGAATTTGCAGTCCAAGTATTTTGTTTTGGCCTTGCTCAACTTGAACCCTTTAGACTCCAAGGTTTGTCTCCAAACCTCTAGCTTCGCGTTAAATCGGCCGTGAGTCTCGTCTATTAGGCTTATGTCATTTGCAAATAACATACACCAAGGGATCTCATCTTTGATTCGCTATGTCAATTCATCCATCATTAAGGCAAATAAAAAAAGGCTTAGAGTTGATCCTTGGTGCAATCTCATCGCCACTGGGAAATGCTTAGAGTCTACTCTCACCTCTTTTGCTACTTACCTAATGTAATTAACAATCCTATCCCACATACTATTGAAGTCTTCCTAAAAAATTGTTCATAACCTAGGTAGATGATGTTTTGAACAAGTTAGAACTCTTAAATTACTAGTTGAGCTGTGTGAAAACTGGCCCAGACACCACATTCATTAAAAAAAGAAAAAAAAACTCTTAAAGTACTAGAAGTCCGTCTGAAATACAGGAGTAGGTTAAACCCTTAAAAGAGATTATCTCTAAACGGGTGAAAACCATTTTGCCCCGCTCAACTTTGCTTTTAAAAATGAAATACTTCCCCTGACTTTGACTAATTCACATCCTCTCCTCTTATCTCAATTGAACATTTTAAATACCTATTTTACCCTCTAAATTATCAACATTTGTGCTGTTTTTACTTGTTAAATATTATGATACTTTCCTCTTTTTTTAATCTATGACTTACCTATAACACTAATAAATCTTATTTATGGATTAAAACATGAAAAATAGTTTTCAAGGATATAAGATGTTTGAATAACAAAATAATTGAGCTAATTAGAACAATATGTTCGTATCAATATTGATGATAATAATAACCAAAACTCAATTTTAATTACACAATTGAGAATGAGAGAGAATAATTTATTTATAACAAATTCTTAATGATCCTCTATTATACTTTAAATGAATTTCAAATTATGATTCAATTAAAAATGTTACATTAATGGATGACAAAACTTTAAATTTTTAATACGCATCCAAAAATATTTATATATATAAAATCACTTTTTTTTGTGTGAGAAAAGGAGATGCATGGGTGCTTCAGAGCAGAGGTGTGCGAGGTTGACTATGGATGGTTTCAGGAGAGGTAGAGGTAGGATGTAGAAGTACTAGGGATAGATAATTAGACAACAAATGGCGTTGTTTAGTTTACCAACGACATGACCTTAGATAGGATATTGTGGAGGGACACCAATTAGGATGGAAGGTTAGCAGTAGAGAGTAGAGTGTTGTCTTGCTCACTTTCCTACACTAATAATAGTATTTTTCTGGCAATTTCTTATTTTTTGATGCTTGTTATTACTCGTTTTTTTTCTTTCATTGTAGTATTTTGTTGTAGTTACATTTTTTTCCCCAGAATGCTTTGACATATTCTCTATAATATTTTGCCATGACTTCACTCTTGTTAATTCTTTTTCCTGAACTGCTATGACTTTTTCCTTGATCCAAGGGTTTATTGGAAACAATCTCTCTACCTCTCAAGTTAGGGGTAAGGTCTTGTGTAATTTACCTCCCCAGACCCCACTTGTGGAATTACACGGGGTATATTGTTATATTTCATTCACTTAATAATAAAATAACAATGTAGTGGTAGATTTTTACAAATTGTTTTTGATAAAATTAATGGATTATTCTACTTGTACTTTACAAGAGTTTAAATTACATTTTATAATAGGGTAAAGACATAGATTCCTCCTTGAATTTACCTCGAAAAGTCAAAATACATGCTTAAACTGTCCTAGCGGCCTATTACACACCTTTACTATTTAAAAGTGAATTTATTTACCCTTAAAACTGACGTAACCAAAAAACAAAAGCGCGTCAGTTAGAAACTCAAGTAAAAACAAATTTAGAATCCTCCTTCTACCCTCACCCCAACCCCCACCCCCACACCTCTTCTTTTTTACACCCCACCCACTGTCCTCTTCTTCGTCATTCTTTATTCTTTATTTTTCATCAATATTTTCTACAACTTAATTTCTTCATAAAGGCTATTTTTATTCTTACTCCATTGTTGATACAAAAATCAACATTCAAAATTTTCGCTTTCTTCACTACAGATCTTTGCAACTTTGCCAAAATGTAGTGCAGAAGAAAGCTCCAAAATCACCATTGAATTCTCTATACTAAATGAAACATCAATGAAGAAGAACCATCACATTTCTATTAATTTCACTATTACTATAAAAAATCACAACATTATCACCAGATTTCACCACCTCCACCATACCCAATTTCTCTCTTCCTTCACTCTAAATAAGGGTTCTCACCTCGCCAAAAACTCAATGAAGAAAGCGATAGAAGAGAAGTTGTAGAAATTGATGGTGATGGCAGCGTTGTTGGTGGCTGGTAAAGTTGATTGTTGGGTTTAAAAAATAAAATATAGTGGTGGGTTTGTTGGTGGTGGATGGTGGTTGGCAAAGAAGAGAGAATTAAAGGTGGTTAAGAGGAAGAAATCGATATTGATATAGTGATGGTGATATTTGGTGGTGGGTGACGAAGAAGAATAGAAGGTGATTTGGTGGTGGTGAAAAGCAAAAAAATGATGGTGAAGGTGGTCGGACATGATTTTTCTGGTGTGATGGGAGATGGAGTTGGTGGGATTTAGTGATGAAGAAGATATAATTATTAGAGTATTTTAATAATTAATTAGAGATTAATTAGTTTAAAATATAGTTAATGAAAGAAAAGTTAATGAATAAAGAAAATTAAACAAAAAATATTTTAAAAACTATCAATTCTAACATGGCGCTGACGTAGTGCTGACCTGGCGGCGAGTGTAATACACCACACACTGTGAGAGTGTCGTTACACGTCTCAGGTTGGTATTGAATTCACTTTTAAGTAGTAAAGGTATGAAATAGGTTGCCATGATAGTTTAAACATGTATTGACTTTTCGGGACAAGTTCAGAAGGGTATCTATGCCTTTTCCCTTTATAATAAAATATAACCTAACTTAAATCATATAAAGAAAACAAAAAAGTTTTTAAAAATTATAAATTCTGACATGACACTGACGTAGTGCTGACCTGGCATCGAGTGTAATACACCACATACTGTGAGAGTGTTGTTACTAGTCTCAGGTTGGTATTGAATTCACTTTTAAGTAGTAAAGGTGTGGAATAGGTCGCCATGATAGTTTAAGCATGTATTTGACTTTTCGGGACAAGTTCAGAAGGGAATCTATGCCTTTTCCCTTTAGAATAAGATATAACCTAACTTAAATTATATTCAAAGGAGATAGGTGAAAAATTGAATTTTCTTTTTTTGGTTTCCCACCCGGTGTCCGGAGCCCACATTGGAGTTCCGACTAAATCCGGATCACGCACTGCAGGGCCCATTCAGGGGTGGTGTTCCCAACAGGATTTTTTTCATACCAAGGGTTCGAACCCGAGACCGAAAAATTGAATATTACCACAACAACATACCCATTGAAATCCCACAAATGGGGTCTGAGGAGGATAGATTGTACGTAGACCCTACCATTACCTCGTGGAGGTAGAAATACTATTTGACCCTTGGCTCGAGTGTAGCAAATCCAAGTACAAAGTAGAAGAATACAATGTAGAAAATATAGCAACTAATATGGAACAAAATTAAATATTACATATAATATAAAATATATATGGTATATGTAATTATTTCAAAATTTACTGAAATGTAAAATAGTAAATAAGATTGATAATGACAAGGATAAAATAGAGTGAACAAAGAAGTGTATATGACTAGTTTGTGCTTATAAATAGAATATGTATAATACTTTTACACTTAGAAAGTCACTTTTGGCATCTGGTAAAAGGCATGTTTTCCACAAATTTATGCAATAATAGCATGCTGCAGTTTGAATTTTTCCTTTAAAAAGAAATAAGATGTGGAAGAAATTAGTAAAAGAATTATTATGCCAACCGAAAAGTTCAACACATGGAAAATTGCTGCAAAGTAGATAAGATTGAAACAAAAAGCATTTAAGGTACCAGAGAAACTGGAGGTGGCAATGGCAATGTCAGTTGTAAAGAGGAAGCAACAGATGAATCCATGTAATGTATATCTGGGATAACATATAGATAGACACTCAAACTTGTCCTGGAAAGCAAGCACTCCAACTTTGAGTATGCATATCTGGACAACTCAACTCGTGTACATTGTGTCAGTTGAACACTCCAACTTACAAAGTGATCATCTGGATACCTCTGAAATTTATGTGCCCATGTCAGCATCGGGTGTCCACAAGACACATTGAGGGCATGATGGAGTGTTTAGTTGCTAGTTGATACCAAGTCGAGGTATCTAGATGTGCATTCTCAAAATTAGAGTGCTTATTTGCCAGTTGAGGCCAACTTTAAGTGTCTGCCTATGTATTATGTCTATGGACTATTGTTGTTGTTTTTCAAAGTGGCAATGGAAGCATTCAGAGAAACAACATCAAGACTTGTTTCCCTCAGCATTCCTACCTCTTAAAGTAAGGGAAAAAAAAAACCCAGCATAACTTTGTCAGAACATTACTATGTTACAAGCGAAGATCTCTTAAAAACTTACCCCGGGGGGGGGGGGGGGGGGGGGGGGGCGGAACGTTGTTGTTTTTCAAAGTGGCAATGGAAGCATTCAGAGAAACAACATCAAGACTTGTTTCCCTCAGCATTCCTACCTCTTAAAGTAAGGGAAAAAAAAAACCCAGCATAACTTTGTCAGAACATTACTATGTTACAAGCGAAGATCTCTTAAAAACTTACCCCGGGGGGGGGGGGGTAGGTTGGGTAGGAGAGACATACCAGGGATGGTAAATCCAATTATGTTGTCAACCAGAGGATGACCTAGTGTTGGAGGCATGAGAGCAACAACCTAGAGATCCAGATTCGAATCCCAACTACAACACCTGGTCTGAGTGAATCTGTTCCAGTTATGGTGACCGGGTTACCTTGGAAGCATATGTTTATGCACTGTACAGGCTGCATGGTAGATTAGTCGAGGTTCGGAGAAATCGATCTGGACACCAACGATATATATGTGTAATGTCCCATCACAAATTTGAGACACGAAAGTTCCATTCAAATATTTCCCTTTCTTGAGAAGAATGTGCAATTCAGGGACAAACCTATTAAGAAAAGAAGAAAGGAGATTGAACATGAACTTTTTTTTCCCTTTTTTTCCAATAAATGTTTTCAGAACATTGTTTAGTAATACATTAGAATGATTTTTTGCTAGTTTTTGAGGATGAGTTTTTTCAAGTTGACCAGTTTTTCAAGTGATTTTTTTTTTCTACTCACAAAACTTCAACCTTTTTAAAAGTGAAATGCATGTTCCAAACACAATTTCTACTTTCAAATCTATTTTTCAACTTCAACTTCAAATACTACTTGTTTTCAAATATCACTCTATTCATGTCCAAATGCCTACTTGAACTCTGTATTGATACTAAACAGGAGAGGCATAAACCATATCACCATCCTCCCGAAAAACATAGCTGAAATATCCTCTTGGGCAACTTTTGGAATACTTGGAGAAGTAGTGAGATGATGAAAGAATTTGAGAGAGTACAACATACGTTGGCATTGAGTTTAACTTGCAAAACACACTTTTCTCAACTTCTGCACCAAGGTTCTTTAAGGTGGTTGCTTTAAAAGAGTTTAATTTGTTAAAAGAGAAGTATGTAATATTTATAATTTAATGTGCGTGAAACTTCTGAGTTATGAGTGTATCTCCGCTATAACAATTAGTTTTTTTTTCTTGCATGGTAGGGTGTGGATCCAGCTATTAGACCAGAAGTTTGGGAATTTCTCTTGGGCTGTTATGCTTTGGGAAGCTCCGCTGAGTACCGAAAGCAGTTGAGGACTGCTAGAAGGTATTCGCTTTCCAGTTACTGCTATAATATATTGAAAATGTTCTACTCAATTTGGTCAATATGAGGCAGCTTCATGTTTTCAGTCTTATTATCCATTTTGGTTAAACATCTTGTTTATGCAAAAGTCTGGGTCTATGTTGAAGTCGCCTTTTCTGTTTTTCCCCCTTTTTTGGTTTATTTGTTTTTTGTTGTTGATTTTAGGTAGTATAAACATAGGAATGCTGAAACGTGTAAGCATGCAAGGCAATTGACAAGCAAATTACTTTGATGAAATTGCCTATTTAGTATTTACTGATGTAGTTGGGAACTCTATACTTACAAGAATCAAGATCCATACAACATTATGAAATTTTGCTGAAAAAAATTTGATTCTCTAGAAAGAGAATCAAGGCTTCGGGATGCCATATAAGCTCTTAAAATATACAACTATTATTATTGCTTTTGTGTTGAATTATTTCATTAATAATCCTACAGGAGGTGTCTTCTGCCTTTTTAAACTGCTCTTCTTTTCCTTTCTTTCCTTATTGTTCACATAAGTGCCAAAGACACTGCATCCTATGTTATTTTCGTCTCCTAAAATATCACCCTAGTAACTCGTTCGACTTTAAACATATTCCACATCATGCACCATAGCCTATATTCTCTCATGGTTTATGAATAATCAATTTGACTTGACACATATTTCAAATTATGCACCGTATTATGTGTTGTGTCAGAACCTGACCTCAATTCAACAATTATCGAACTGAGATTTAATAAAACAGTAGAGTTTTTTGGGACAATTTTCTATTAATCAACTGAATTGAAGGAATTACAACTTAGAACAATGGAAAATGAATCTGAAGTTTGGAAGTTTCCATAGACGAGTCCTTAATCTGCAGAAGAAGAATGAGTGGGATTAGGAAAAGGAAGAAGAAGAAAGGAGAGATGTGAGAGAAAAGGTGAGAAAGATGCCAATTATCCATTCAACTTCTCTTTCCTCTACAGAGTTGGTTAAATCAACGTGACTTGTGCTGGTTTGGCACTGTGATGACGTGGCTGCATCTCCACCCTCTAATCTCATTAATCTACATCTAATATGGGCCATTGCTTCTACCCGGTAGTTATAACTACTTATTGGATGCCCAAGGTCATGGTAATTTTCTCCCTGCAAAGCATCCTTGCATCAAGGATTAATAACAAAATCAGGAAACGTGGCCTTGATGAAATGATAATCTTCCCATGTAGCATCTTCAGGAGGTAGATTCGACCACTGTATGAGCAATTTCACATTGGCTCGATTGTTCAGCTTGACTCTGCCGCTGAAGAATAGCCACTGGTCTAACCAAAAACTGACCATCCTCCCCAGTAACTGGTAGAATAGATTGCACCACTATTTTTTTTTTTTTGATGACAAGGGAAACCCGCAGCCGCTACCCTTTGGGTGTGCACAGGGTAAAACCCTCGCTCCTATGCAATAGCTCGCAAACCACGTAGGAGTTAACCCGCACTAAGCAAGCATGGTGCGACAAGCTCGACGCAGAAGGCAAACCCCTTGCTTTCGCTAGCAAGGGGTTTCGAACTTGAGACCTCCAACATGGAAGTCTCAAGCCCAAACCACTGGCCTCCATTTTCTTTTTGAGAAGACATGGAACACTGGATGTACTTTAGAAGTAGGTGGAAGATCTAGCTTATAGGCTACAGGTCCAACCCTTGCTAGAATCTTGTATGGGCCATAGTATTTGGAGTTGAGCTTCAAATTTCTTCGTAGAGCAATTGAGGACTGTCTGAGGTTGAAGCTTGAGGTATACTATCTCACCAGGTTGAAACTCCCTTTCTGACCTATGTAGATCAGCATAGTACTTCATTCCTTTATTGAGCTTTCAACAAATTGTTCTTAATAATTTGTTGCATCTGTTGCCTCTTCATGATCAAATCTTCAGCAGCAGGCACCACAGTTTGGTCCCATAGATAGTTGAGGAGGCGAATACCCATAGAGCTTCAAAAGGGTGCATTGCAAGCTTGTGTGGTAGTTGATGTTGTACCACCACTCAGCTAGGTGCAACCACTGCTTCACTGATGAGGTCTGTGACTAGTCATGCACCTCAAGCAATTTTCTATACACCGATTAACCCTCTCAGTATGCCCATCTGTTTGAGGATGATAGGAAGAACTATATAGGAGTTGAGTGCTACTTAATTTGAAGAGAGCAGAAGTTACTCAAATATTTTATCTCTATCAGAGATAATGGACTCAACTCAGGTGCACCATGAAGAGTGTGTACTCTCTTCCAGAATTTAGTTGCGACTTGTAGAGCTGTGAAAGGGTGGGATAGAGCTATAAAATAAGCACCTTTAGTGAGCCTATCAACACTACAAAAATAACATCCTTGCCTGAGGATATAGGCAAACCTTCAATAAAATCCAAACTTATCTGTCTCCATGATTGATCAGGAATGGGCACAGGTTGCAGCAAATCTAGATAGGGAGCATTCTCATCCTTGTTCCTATGACAAACCTCACATTCAGATACAAACTGCACCACCATTTGTTTCATTGTTGGCCAATAGAATAGTAGAGACAACCTTTTGAAAGTTCCAAGTTGGCCAGAGAGCCCTCCTAAGTTAGAAGCATGGAAGGTCTGGATCAACTGATGCATACGAGGTCCATTTGAGCCCACATAAATCTTCCCCTTCCTTCTCAATACTCCCGAGTAAAACTGCCACAAGTTAGGACTATTAGTATCCACTGTCAACTGTGTAATGAGCTCCACAGCCATAGGATCACCTTCATAGCTGGTTGCAACCTCGTGGACCCACAATGGAACTGCTACACTGATGGCATGCAACTGGCCTTCTTCGCTCAAGTGGTTCTCCTCTTGTTGGTTCGAAATTGTATCAGCTTCACTCAAGCTAATCCCTTCATGCTGCTTTGAGAGTGCATCAGCCACTCTATTCTCTGCCCCTTTCTTATACTGCACCTCATAATCTAACCCCAACAATTTGGTCAGACCTCTTTGTTGCACTGCTATAGTAACCTTCTGTTCAAGCAAATATTTGAGGCTATGGTGGTCAGTCTTGACCACAAAATGCTTGTATTGAGGGTAATGTCCCCACTTGTCAACAACACTCAATAGAGCTAAATATTCTTTCTCCTAAATGGATTTATCTCTATGCTTCATAGCCAATACCTTACTAAAATAGGCTATTGGCCTTCACCTTTGTATTAGCACAACTCCAATTCCTGAATGGCATGCATCAGTCTCTACTACCAATTCTTCATCATAATTTGGCAAGGCACTTGTATGGTAGACATGGCCCTCTTAAGTGTCGCAAAAGCTTGATCAGCTTCTTCAGTCCACACAAAAGCATCCTTCTTCAACAAGTCAAATAGTGGTCTGCTTATGCTTCCATAATTAGCTACATACTTTCTATAATATCCTGTTAAGCCCAGAAATCCCCTCAAAGCTTTCACAGTTCTAGGGGTAGGCCATTCTTCCATAGCTTTCACCTTGGCAGGATCAGTTGACACACCCCTTCTGCATTAATAACATGTCATAAGTACTCTACTTTGGATTGACCAAAAGAGCACTTGGACCTTTTTGCATACAATGAATGGAATAATAAGGTGTTGAACACCAACAGTAAATGATCTACATGCTCTGGCAATGATTTACTATAAAAGAGGATATCATAAAAAACACCAAAACAAACTTCCTGAGGACTGAGGTACAATTGAAAGACCCGATTCATTAGGGCCTGAAAGGTGGCAGGGGCATTGGTAAGCCCAAAAGGCAATAACCTTAAACTTATAATGTCCAATGTGAGTCCTGAATGTTGTTTTGTACACATCTTCAACCTTAATTCTGATTTGATGATAACCTGCCCTAAGACCACTGCTCCATGTAACTCATCTAAAAGGTCATCAACAATGGGAATTGGGTACTTATCCTTCACTGTGATCTCATTCAACCCTCTATAGTCTACACAAAACCTCCAGGTGCCATCCTTTTTCTTAACCAATAGAGCTGGTGAGGAAAAGGGAGATCGGCTATGCTAATAATCCCATTAGCAAGCATCTCCGAAACTTGCTTTTCTAATTCCTCCTTTTGGTAGTGATTGTATCTTTAAGGTCTTAGACTAACTGGTGAGGCTCCAGGCTTTAAGTTAATAGCATGGTCCAGTTGTCTCACTGGTGGTAAAGACTTTGGCTCAGCAAACATAGACTGGTACTTGTCTAGCACTTCTTGTATAGTGGCATCCACATGCTCCTGCTCATTGTAGGACTCTACTCCCAGCATGAATAGATGAGCCATCAATGTTTGACCCTTCCTGATAAGCCTTCCCATGGCACTACCACTGATCATACTCAAACTACCCTCACCTGGAATAGCATGTAGAATGGTTTCATTTCCCTTTCTACCAATTGTCACACACTTTTTCTCATGATCGAACTTGGTAGGATTATTCTTCTTCATCCAATCATTTCCTAACACTAGATCACATCCTTGTAAGTTGATTATTCTCAGATCCTCCTTGAAGGCTTTTCCTTCCATTTTCTAACTAAAACCAGACAACTAGTATGACATATCACATAATTCCCATCAGCAATAGTGACCCTCATAGGAGGGCTATACTCAGCCACACAACCAGCGTCATCAACGGCTTGTTCGTCTATGAAGCTGTGAGTGCTACCAGAATCAATCAACACCGCCGGTGTCCTATTCCTGACAAATCCTTTTACCAATATAACATTTACTCCCAGGCTACTGCCAGTCAAGGCACTCAAACATATGGCCTCCATAACCTCCTGTTGTATCTCTCCTTCAATGATAAGATCTGGTGGTTCAGGTACCTATATTTCATCTGGCAGTATGGCCTCTTCTTCACCGCTCATGCAATTCAATTGCTTAGCCTTACAGTTGTGTCCTGGGTAGTACTTCTCTCCACACCTGAAACATAACTTGTTGCTCTTTCGGTGTGTTACACCTCTGGGGTTAACCTAAAAGTGTTTGGTTGAGGG